CCATCGTGCAAATCCACCTGTCCTCGTGGAGCTGAGCGACTTCCACCGCACCAGGCTTAACAGGTGCTCCATCACCCACCCTTGCCCAGGACGGTCTCTGCGGAGGAACATCCCACTGCGACGCCTGCACCTCGGCCTCATTCGTCGACCCACTTGCCGCGCTTGCCTCCGCCGCATTCTTCGACCCACTTGCCGCACTTGCCTCGGCCACATTCTGCGACGCCTGCATGTTATGGCGGCTGGTCTTCGGCGAAGGCTCCTCCATGACCCCTGGCCTTTTCATGATGACTCCTAGGGTCCTAGACTCTAGACTCGGACCTGGACTCGAGCACATCATGCCGCCGAATAATTCTCAGGATCACTCAATCAGCTGCGGCAATTAAGTTCTTAAGGAAGCTTTCTCTGGCTTTTTGTGTTGAGAAGACCCTACAAGGCCCAACAATCTCCAATCTACAATGTATACGTATATGTGTAGGCATCTAGTTATCTAGTTAATCTAGTTTAACTGATTAGAATCGAATGATTGGTGATTGCAAAAAGTCTCGTGGGTTTGAGCTGCTGGGGTTTTGGGGATTCGGGGCTAAGGATTGAGTGTCCAGTTGTTCAGGTCCGACATCACGAAGCCCAGAAACCTGGAAGCCTTCTGTCCCTGCGGCCAAAGCCCTGAAAAACCCTGGCCCCAAAGCACCTGGACCCCAAATGGATTAGTTGTTCAAAGAGGTTGGAGTAATTGAGGAGCCATGATAGCAGATAGCAGAGGGGTGCCTGAGAAAGTGACTGACTAACAATAGGTCAGTACTCAGTAGGGTTTCGACGACCCGCTCGAAATTCTGGCCTTATGGCCAGAGAGGATTACACCGGGTTTCGTTCCAGAGGGGTTTACAAACTGAAGCCTGATGTTACTGACGATATTTTCAGCAATGTAGCTAATTTGGCTATGCTATTGAACCTGCTCAATATATATATATATATATATATATATATATATGTACACATACCAATGGTAGCTATCGAAGCCAATCAACTAAATCGAATCCAGCACGAAACCAATCGAGGATGACTCCCCGATAGCCTTAATTCACCTCAAGCCCGAAAGCTCCTACCAACCGCCCTCCAAGAAACCCAAACCTCAGACAGCTTAAGTGAAGCGATCCATGTCTAGTCATCCATAATCAAACACTCCAAACAAACTCTGAAACCCCTGGAAGCCCTAGAATCCCTAGAGGCCCTAGAATCTCTAGAATCTATTGAATCTATTGAACAGAACCCTCCAAACTAAAACCTAAAACCTAAAACTACCTAAAATCCTAAAAAACCGTAAAAACCTAAAATTACCTAAAAGACCCAAAACGCTTGGCCCATGGCTCGGCTGGAATCCGCTGGTCGTGGCAACGCCCGAGGGCCCACATCAGCACCTGCTGCAGGAGTTAACAGTTAGCGATGTCAGGCTTCAACAGTTTTGGGATGTGAAGTAAGTAGCTGCTAGGTCTGCTAGGTAAGATGATCCAGATCACGATGCAGGGGATGATGCGCAAACAAAGGTATGGCATCAGGTACGGCATGGTTTCCTTGCCCCGGTGCAATGTACGACATGAAATTTCCGGATAAGTGGCCGCTGGTGCAACGCTCCGGGTCCTTATAGGTCCTTAGGGCCTTAGGGTTTAGGGGTTTTGTGTTTGGGCTTCGGGATCCCGTGCTTGCCACCGGCTGCCACTGTCACACATTGATGACCTCATCTGGCTCGTTGAGGGCGGCTTCTGGGTTTGGCCGGGGTTTAGGAGCTTAGGGCTTGGTTTAAGTGTGTGCAATTGGTGAATGAATATAATACTCAACAGAACTTGTTTACAGATGTCGCTACATTTTGGAATCTTGGGAACATTTTCGCGCTAGCCGCGGCTGACTAAGACTTAGACCTTAACCCAGGGTACTCCCACACATGGAACAGCCCAAGTTCACGGCCTTCGTCCCACAGGAATTGCATCGACGCACCTGGGATGACCAGTTGCTCACGGGATGTAAGACCGGATTCATGCTTAGAGGATTAGAGTCTTAAAGTTAAAGCAACGGCGGCCCCAGGAGCAGCGGCACAAACACAGACAAACCGACATTTGCACGAAGAAAAGTAAGGAGAGTGTCGCTTATCAGACATATCACGCTCCAAGGCGAAGGCCTGCACCTCGTTCACGAACATCTCTGCAGCCGACTCCTCCTCTGCGCCCGACCTGAGGTGTTAGGATTTTGGGATTTTGAGCGTGTTCCGTGCCATGCGAAAGCGCAGCAGAGAAAACAACGGAAGCCAAGGACCGCACCCACTTGCATCCACCGCCCCAGGAAAAGTGAACGGAGCAGGCTTGTACGGCGGTCTCTCTCTCTCTCTCTCTCTCTCTCTCTCTCTCTCTCTCTCTCAGGTAGTTACCAGGGTTACTCTCTCTCTCTCTCTCTCTCTCTCTCTCTCTTCTCTCTCAGGTAGTTACCAGGGTTACCCGTTTTGTCAAGTATAGGAAGTATAGAGCATGGAGATATTATAGACTCAGGGTTTGTTGTCAGCGATTTGGCTTCGACGTTTGATTGCTAGGCTGCTAAGTATTTTAGAATTTAGGTCCGACGTCCCGGGTTTGAAATCTTTATGCGAGCATCGAACTAGTTTAGGTAGTTAGTTTAGATTCTAGATTTACAGAACTCAGGTTTAGTTAAGCTGAAGAGGATTGTAGCGGTTCGCGCCGCTAGGTTCAGGCAGCTGAGTGAGTAACAGTGACTAACACTGGTTTGGGCTTACTACAAAATGGTTGACTAAAGTGCTTAAAGTGATCGAGTCGCCCTCCAGCATGCCGTGCGAAACATTCGCAGTGTCACTAGAGTCAATCGAACACACATTTCGATGATTCGGAAGCATGCAGCTTGCTTGCACCACAAGGCAGCCTGCCCGAAACTATTCTATACTATTCTATTTTATACTCTATGACCCCATGGCAATGATATCTGTAAGCTTTGGGCCTAAACAAAACCAAATCGACCTGCCCCTAACCTGCCCGAAACGGGCGGCATCAACCACCCGAGGTCGGGAAGCCCACGACACAGAAGGGCCTCGAGGCTGGGTCAATCGGTACTTGCTTGTATGCTCGGGCCAAGTCAAGCGTGCCTCCTTCCCACTCTGACGAGGCCACGAGATGGTGTACCGGGTTCCCGTCACAGTGCCCCAAGTGCAGGCCTGAGGCCACGTGGGCTACTAGGCAGGCTAAGACGTCAATGTCCATCAGCTTGACTTTGTACGACGGGGAGAAGGCAGAGTTTAAACCTGGTGCCTTGGCGTCGTCTATAACCCTAAGCTTAAGACTAACTCCCTGGTAAATCGGGAACCTGGGGTTGAGGAACCAATGCTCGGAACCGAAGTGCTGGTGGGCATCGCTCTCCGTGAGGGGGCCTTTCAGATCGCCCCTGCTGACCTCTTCTATGGAGGCCGAGACAAGGTCGTTCTGATGCTGGTCACTGGGGATCTTACGAGACTGAATCATGGCTTCACGCCTGAGAGGAGCCGACGCAAGAAGGTTGTCCGGTGAGTCCGAGGAAGGCTCTCCTCCGGGTTCTAGATTGGGGACGGGCCCATGCGTCCCAACAAGAGGAATGCCTCTAGCCATCAAGTCAACGATCTCGCAATCATCGAAGTCGGAAGCCTTGAGGAGGGCCTTCCAGAGGCAAAGTTTCTTGGGACTGAGGATGCTTGCCACGTCTGGGTCCAGGGACGATTTGAACTCGTCTTCTTTCCCCTCAAGCTCTTTGGCTAGCTGCTTGATGGTTATCACAGCCTGCAGACGCCGTTTTGCTGTGTCGACCGGGTCGGTTGTCAACACCGTGTCCACGGCATCTTTCAGCACCGTTGGGAGAACTTGGCCAGGATTCCTCGGATGTTCGGTCTGCTTGGCTAAATTCAAGTAGTCTTGAGGGTTCCACTGTCGGCCGATGTTGACGCATGCAGTGGAAGAAGACTCAGGGATGCTGTCTTGGGAGATTGGTACCCCCGATGGCAAAGAAGACAGCACGCGCTCGTGGGGCTGCAGAGTGGAGGCGGCAGGCACCCGGGCACACTCGTAGAACTCGGGGATGAGCGGGCGAGAGCCGCGGCTGACGCTCTGAGATAGACTGGCGGAAGCAGTAGGCACAGGCTCGGGGAGCTGGTGACGCGCGGCTAGAGCCTGCGCCATGCGCAAACAAAGCAAGCGAGGGTACTGCGCTTCCTCGGCAGTGGCGAAGCGCGGCCCGCTGGCAGTCGGGTCAACGGTCCACGGCGCATGGGTGTGTGAGGAGTCGCAAGAGGCCCGGAGGCTGCTGAAAAGGCCGGGGGATCCTAAGATCTTGGTGCTCTTCTTGCGGCGGCCGCCGTGCATGCAAGAGTCAAAGATGCATTCTTCGAGCTGGGCGAGGAGATGCACACGCTGGGATTCCTCGGCCATGGCACGTAGCGCTGACCATAGCCAGGATCGAGAAGGGTTCTCGAGGCTGACGGTGGCACCCATGCTGGCGGCAAGCTCCAGGACGTCCAAAGCGAACCAGAAGACGGCATTGGCCTGGCAGACGCGGCGGTGTTCGGCAGGGGTGAGGTTAGGGAGGCCTGGGGGTGGAGCAGGTTGCGCAAAGGCCGCGGGGCGGGCCCAGGCACACCGTGAGGCAGAGCACGCTCGCGGGCCCGCGAACAAGTGCCACAGGGGAGGCCGAGGTGCACATGTGCAAGCGGCTGTGTGCGCATCCATCGGAGCAAGAGAGCCTGTTGCTGGGGGCAGCTGAGATCCAGCTGGCAGATGGAGTGCTGCGGAGGATGCGTATTCCAGTGGTGGTCGACCGCCAAGGTGGCGAAGCCAGCAGCGCGAAGAGCGGCCGACAGGGAGGCCGAGCCGGCGCAAAGTTCGACCGCCATGGGTCGCAGGCTGGTTTGCGGGACAGGAGGCAGAGCGTGTGGCATGCCAGGTGCGCCACAAGAGAAGCCGGCGCGACTTAGAGTGTCGAGATCAGAGATCGGCGGGGCACAGGGTGTGCGCGTCAAGAGAAGTGAAGGCAACCAGAACGCAGCGAGTGCCCTCCCAAGGGAGCGTTTGATGACGCGCCTCGGCAGCAGGAAGGAAGACGGGCCCGGAGGCCACATCAAGCACACAACCAGGCGTCACGACACCGTCCAAGAGGCGATGAGAAGTGCCGGAGGGGGACTCATACCACACGCCTCCACCTGAAAATGCCGTGAGAGGGATGAGCAGGTTGGGTTGGGACGGCTGGTTAAGGGCGTCCAAATGCAGGGGAGCAGTCAAATCGCGGAATATAGCAATGCTGGAGAAAGAGTGCGTGCCACAGGTAGCTCGCACAAAATCGGCAAGGGCCTTGGTCGCCAAAGGGAAAACACGGGTGCGGCGACGCAAGCCGGGTCCGCTGGAGTATGCAAAGGCTCCAGTGGTAAAAGACTTTGACTGAGGCAGCATAGATGCAGCACGAGCCGGAGTCTCAGCAGGCAAAAGTTCAAAAAGCTGATAGGCTTGCTCGGCAGTCATAACAGAGTTGGCAAAGCGGGCCGCAAATTGCTCAGCAGGGTGACCGGCGTGGGGCGGCGAGACAAAATCGCCGGTCTGCAAAGGCTCGTGTAGTCACGAGTGGCTGCACTCGCAGGCCGGCTTATGGCGGTGGCATCCGATTTTCCAGCACACGTGGTAGCCGTTGCTGCAACGAGCGCCAGGCTTCACATGAGAAGCGCGGCAGGTCCCCAGGTTGTACTTCATGCAAATGGGGCCCTTGGAAAAACGAATGGTGCAGCCATCAGGCACTTGGATGCGAGAGCCGGCGCCGGAGCCTTTGCCTGGGCCCTTCGCAGGGGTTCGACCCGGTGACGCAGCAGGCACAGGTGGAGCAGAGGAGGCACGCTGGCGTTTGCGCTTGCGGGCAGCCTGTGCAGCATGAGGCTTGGGAGGTGGGGTGTGAGAAGCATTCGCCAGCGGGAGGAAATGCCAGACGACCTCGGGGTGGTTGCTCAAATCCAGAATCAAATTGTCAACCAGCAAGGCACCGGTGGCGGCGTCACTGCGGCCCAGAAGCCCACGACTGAGCTGAGACAAGCGAACCCAAAGGGCTTTGTCAGCTGCCAAAATCTGCTCGAGGCCAATAGGAGAGTAACGACTGGACGGCACAGGAGTCGAAAGACGATCAAAGAGATTCTGGGCCCAGGCATCCAGAGCCTCGTAGGTGGCAACACCCGCGATGTCGTAAGCCATGGCCCGCCGCTGAAAAGCGGCACGAAGGAGGTGGGCAGTGGAGATATCGCATTCACCACCCGCGGACTCCCGCGACACCTTGATGGCACCATCCGAGCCGAAGCGCAGAGAGGCGGAAGAGCGTTCAGCAAGGGCCTCTTGGTAACGGCTGAGCAGGTATTGAAGGACGCCCTCATCGAACTGCTGAGATGCCTTGTCCACCAGGGCATGCGCAGGCTGATTGTGATCTGTGAAGGTGACCCCGACGAGCCGATTCTGTAGGCGAGAGCTGCGCTCGAGTTTCTCCTGTAAGGGAAGAACTTTCGGCTCGGAATCTGAGGTGCGTTCAAGCTTGCTGCGCAGATCTTGAAGAGCCAGAGCCTGCGCCTCAAACGCAAGGCGGCGCAAGGCAGTGGTCTGGTGAGCCGAGAGAGCTGAAGAGACGAGCGAGCCCACATGACGCATAAGTGCAACATCGTCGATTCCACTGTTAGCCTGGTGTGGCTGACACAAGGCAAGAGAGGCATACGTGTCAATGCCCCCGGTATGCAGCTCTTGCACAAAGGTTGCGGCCAATCCGAGCTCTAGGCAGCGAGCCTCGAAAGTAGCTGAAGAATCCAAGGCCATGGCGCAGTCTGAATTGCCGTGGTGAGCCGTAACTCGGTGCAGGCACAGACCACAAGCTGAGGCAGAGGCAAAATGCGAAGTCTAGGCAAGGCAGGCACAAAGCGATTTTCTCGGCAAGGCACAGTCATGCAGCGGCGGACAGCACACGTGAGGCGCTGCACTGGCCACAAAATGCAGTCTGCTCAACATCAAGGTCAGCTGGCGAAACACACTCAAAATTGCAAGAAATGGAGCGGCCGCACATCAGACGCTCAGGTGAGTGGGGAGACTGCACATGGACAATACCGCTCACAGAGTGCACAAGCCAGGCGTACTCGTAGGCGGCGGCCGGCAGGGGAACTCGATCTCGATGTAGCGGTGCAGGAAGACCGGCGGGTTCATCATCGGAAGAAGAGCTAGATGCAGGCTCCGCGGAGGTCTGAGCAGAAGCTGGACGGGGCGCATGCACCTGCACCATGGAACGCAGTCGGCCAAGAGCGTCAGCATCAGGACTCAACTCGCCGGAGTCGATGGAAATCAGCAAGTGCCAGACCTTGGCCTGAAGACGAATGAAGCCTCAATGTGATGTCCAAGCAATGTGCGTTCTTCACGAGTGAAGAGAGGGCTCATGCCAGCCCAGGCCAACAAGGTGGTTTTGCAGGAGTGGGCACGAAGTGCCCGCACATCGGTGGGGTCAAGCTCATGAGAGAGGATCTCCCGCAACCATCCAGTGGCCTCGGAAGTAGTCATGGGATCACCGAGAGCCCACTTCTGCTCGCGTTCGTTCCAGGATGGCAGGCCCTGCGAGAGGTCGGACTCGGCTCGAAGAGTCGCAAGACACGCAGCCCATGACTCACAGCCCGGCCACTGACCTAAGCCAATGAATGGAAGGAGCTCGACCTGGGCCTCCTTGGAGTGTGCGGTCTTGTGCTGGGAAGTCGCGGACTCGAAGATGCTGAACTCGTCGTCAGAGAGCACCCGGAAGAAGGCAAGGAAGCGCAAGTCAGACCAACGTGCGACTGCAAAGATGCACGCAAGAAGGTGGCCAGAGATAATGCGCGTATGCAGAGGCCGGGACGGGTCGCAGCACCATGCCATGAGGAAGCGGATGGCACGAACAGTCAAGGCAGGGGCTTGCTTGCGCTTTTGTTTGCGAACATACATGGCATGCGCCACACCACGAATGCGGGCGCTGTCCACCTCACGCAGAGAGATCCGCTGGAAGCGAAACAAACCGTCAGCGAAGCGCAAGGCCTCCAAAGCGGAGGCGCCGGAAGTAGCACCACTGTCAGCTTCACGAAGTGAGCAGAGATACTCATAGAGAAGGGGCTCCGAAACCATGAAGGGGCTGCGGCCGTCCACGGAGGCCAGGTAGTGAGCCAAGCGCCAGAGAGAGCCTGTGCGTTTGCTGATGGTGCCGGTGGCCTTGGGCCGCAACGTGTCCTGAAGAACCAAGAGGGCTCGGTCAGGTTCCAAAATTTTGCCGAAGCACGTAGTCATCTGAATACCGGTCTTGGTGGCCGACGGGTCAAGAAGCAAAAGAGTCTTGAGCTGCACCAAGCAACGGTCACGAAGGGCCGCATCAGTGACACGAAAAGTGGCAGCTTTGATCCGGGCCAGGCTGATGTCTGGGCGAGCTGCGGCAGAAGAGAGCTCTAGGGAATTCGTGGACGGGTCGGGAGGGGTGGGGATCGGTTGAGGCCGTGGACCAACTGGTGCAGGCAAACGGGTGGTGGGCAGGGATGCAGGAGACCCAAAGACGAGGCCCCAAATGCCATGTTCGTAGGGAAGCTTCGGCAGGGACACATCACGTTGATACACCACGGCTCGCTGAACTTCGGAACTCAGGACCGGACCAGGGTCCTGAGGCAGTGCAGATCCCACACGTTCCCATCCATCGGAGCCCGAGCTGCGTTCGGGGGCCGGATCTAGGCCGTGGTCGCTGTCAGCCAGATCTCTAAGGGGAGAACCGGCGCGCGATGCAGCATTGAAAAAGGAAGGACTCCAGGATCTGGCATCTTCCGAAAGCAGAGGTGAATGCTCCTCAAAGAGAGAATCAGCACGCTCTGCTGCTTCAACAATGCGAACGGAAGGACTCCGGGATCGAGCATCTTCAGAGGCTTGAGATGCCTGCAAACTCCATCGGCGGCGGAAGTTCACCATGGGTCCCGATCTCGAGAAGAAAACAGGCCATAAGGCAACAATGCAAAGGCTGCATGAAATTTCACCGGCACCTAGACAACCCTCACTTAGGTTTGAGTGGCACATTTTGTCACAACAGAGCTAAGTCGGCACCAGGCGATCCAGTCACGTGCGAGCCTGAACCAGTTCCTCGAGGCGGTCAAGGTGGCTGCTAAGAAGCATGCACTGCTCTGCAGAATTAGCGCGAAGATCCTCAATCGACGCCTTGATGTCCTGAACGGTGGCCTTCATGGTGTCAACAAACTCAGCGATGGCCCCGAACGGAACCCCAAAGTCTGGGTGGTGTCCAAGCACCAGGAGCAGCTGCGTTTGACCAATGTTAAGGTTGGTCAGGCGGCGCTCAATCATCTCAATACTGCTCTGTATGAGCCGCACCTGTTCCGCAAGAGGAGGTGGTCCTTGAACCAGCATTGGACTCGGTGCACGCCAAGGGCGAGAGCGCTCATCGGCCGAAGAAGCAATGGCACGGCGGTCGCGGCTGCGAGAGCGACTGGCGCCACGCAGCCTAGCCGGGCCACGACGATTCAGTGTGGCAAGGTACTCCCGTTGTTCATCAGTCAAGGAGTCCATGTCGCTAGGGCGAACACCGATTGACTACACTGTGCAGTTAAGCTCTGGAACCTGTGCACAACAAGGCGATGCTGGCAACCCCGCTGTCGAATGGAAGCAGTGTAGCAAACAATGCAATCCGGAGCATCTCAACGGCACACACGTTTTGGTGCTGAACCGAGTTATGGCTGGAGCTAACAAGTCCCGGTGCTCACGGCAGGCGTCCAACATGAGGCAGATCACGGGCCGAAGCATGGATCACCGACCTGAAAGGGCTGCCACGAAAGTCGCATAAGGCATGATAAGAAACTTGAGTCGGCCACTGCGAGCCGACGCATATCATGATTGGTATCAAAGCCTGGCAAGTGAGCTTTCAGCACACCTCGGATACACCGCCCAGATCAAACTGGCATCGGAGGCCTTCGAGCGGCCCAGAGAACCAGAGTCCCAGACCTGCGAGACCGCCAAGCCATGTGACTCGCTCAACCCAGTTGCTGAGGAGCCCACGACTTGGCAGTCTGGAGGACTAGGGTCTCAGACCTGCGAGACCGCCACGCCAGGTGACTCACTCAACCCAGTTGCTGAGGAGCCCACGGCTCGGCAGGAGAACGCCAACTGCCGCGGGGCAGTGACGAAGATTCCCAGCTCCTGTTTGCTGAGATTCGGAACATCGAACCGGACGACTCGCTCAGACCGGTTGCTGAGGAGATCGCGGCTTCAACAGGAGAGTTGTCTCCTGCCGCAAAGCAGTCATGCCGATTCCCAGCCCAGTTTGCTGGGAGTGGAACTGCTGAGAGTCAGACTGCGGAAGTCGCCGGAGCCAGGAGGACCCGACCTTCTAGACTGGTCTCGTCACATCCCAGCACCAGTTTGCCGGGCGAAAGGCAGCCTGAAGTCCACGACGTCGGTCACCAGACGGATCGACCTCCCGAAAGATTTGCCACACTCTGGCACCGGCTTGCCAGGATAAGAGCGGCCTGAAGCTCACGATGTCGACAGCAACCTGCAACAAGGACTGAGTGACAGCTTACCAGGAGTACATTTCAACAGCCCGGGTTGCTGAGAAATGGGCCACCTCAGTACATCAAGAGATCTGGCCTGCTCAAGCAAAGCTAGAAAAGGACTTATTGCAGACATCCGAACCTCGAAAGTGAGCGGCGACCGAGCAAAGCCAATGGGGCTTGAATCCCCCGCTGAGAATATTGGCGGAAAGCAAGGCGCTCAGATCAAGACAGGACAGCTCACCACAAGCACATGTGCAAGCGCATGCAGGAACGTGCACTGAAACTGAAAGGCAAAGGCGCACGGCCGGATTTCTCAGGGTTGGACCAGAGATCCGGTGCACTCAGTGTGATATGGTCGCCAGCAAGTGCGGTCTGCCAGGTGCACACAGCTACTGCTCAGGGACGTTCAGCAGGCGCTCCACTCGGAGTAAGCGAGCATGAAGACTACGAGAGAACCGGGGGTCGATGATTGACCCGCAAAAGCTCTCAACGTCATCGAGACGGCCACTGAGGCCGCGCAACCAATCACCATGGCCCCGGTCCGAATCTGTAGCCGGCGGCTCAGAGGGAGCACGATGCACGATTCTGGTCGGTGCCTCCCAGCTGGATCCGGCAGCCAAGGCTTCTTTGCGTTCATCGGATAGACCAGCGAAGACGGTGTGAGGGTCTCGTTCTTCACCGACATCTCCAGATTCCGAAGGCGTCAAAGAAGCAGCATCGAGGTTGTCGATGTCATGGCGAGCCCAGGCATCTCGGGCCAACTGCTCGGCCAGCGGTTCCTGCGGTGTCTGCATGTCCTCACAAAATTTGTCGAAAGCGACTCGATGAGCGAACTCAGCAGTGCGGGAAGAGATCTGCGGCCGATGCAATGCAAAACTGTCATGGACCCAGACGGCTCGCCGGGTCAGGGCCATGTCCATGGGCTGCCGCGCACACAAGGTATGCAGAAAATCGGGCCCGTCAGTGCACTCAGGCGCCCCTTCAAGCTGAGTGAGGCGCTGTTGCAAAATCACAAACTGGGTCTGCAAGCGAAACTGATTCTCAAGCAAGAGGTCAGCGCGCTCGTGCAGAGCTGTCAAGGCCTCAAGAGTCTCGTCCCTGAAAGTTTGCAAAGCGTCAAGGAAGTCCTGTCGAGCACTATCGACGTCCTTGCGGGCTTCGCTCGAAGCCCCATGCACCAAGCTGAGAAGCGAGCACTGAATGTACTGGCTAAACTCTTCAAGCTCGGTCCTTGATACCATGCAACGCCGCCCCGGGCCGCGAGGAGCTATAAAGCCTTGGATTTAGCACCCGGGACCTGGTAGACAGCACTCGACTGGGCCTCTAGAGGGGGACTGAACGGAAATTTTCGGCTGACCTTGGGCCCAAAACTTCGTCATGCTGAGGATGTCAACGAACAAAGGCACGTTGAAAGCAAGACGAGCACAAGTGCCGAAAATTAAATGATAAAATTTGAAGGGAAGAAAGAGTATGAGCCTAAGGTTTCGCTCGCGTCAAAACGCAGGTCGCTCGCTGTCGCCGCACACGACAACGCCATCGCATGCGCGAACGCACACTTATGCGGGGCTGCGGTGCCTCCTTACTGTGCTTGGCTGGCGGCCCACTGGGTCGTCACGACGCGCTTGGGTCCGGAGGAGTGCGGTGCTTGCAGGCAGGCGCACGGTTCTCCAATGGGCAACTTCAGTGCACGCGTGCAGGTACTTACACTGTGCGTTGCGGCAGTTGCACTTTATTCCACCTTATGCAGAAAACCTTGTCGCCGTGCTGTGCCACAAGATCCCCTTGCTTGATCTCCTGCGCCGTGCTAGCACCCGGGGTCTTCCGTTTGATGCCTGTGCCTGGGCCTTTGTCCTTCAACGCCAGGCAAGGGTGGCAAAGCACCGCAGCGCTGGTCGTACGATGACTGTGACCGCGCCCGGCACCGCTCTCCGAGCAGGACCAGTCCTGGGCTGATCTGCAAGAAGAAGAAGAGCAACGCACCGCACAGCATTGGCACCAGCTTGAACAGGACGTGCAGTAGCACCGCAGTGGCCGGGCAGCAACGTGGGGCGATGCACGCCCCGCTGGATGGGCACACAGCCGCCGCCTGCACCGCACCAGTTCCCTCGCCCTGCACCAGCACCGGAAGATCGTCAGAGTTAGAGCCGAGTGAAGCACCGCACACACATGCGCAGATAACCATAGGAAACGTGCCTCCGACCACAGCGGTTTTGACCACGCCTGCCTGTTAGCGCGAGCAAAAAATGCGGAGGCACAAAATACCAACCTAGCTCGCATTCGCAAGCAGGAGGGGAGCAAGACCTCCGCGAGTATGCATCAACAGTGTTTCCATTGAAGATGCTGCGCCCGAAGCGCGGTCCTGGTGAAGGCACTAACCCTGGTGGAACAGCAAAGAATCCAGCAGGAGCAAGCGGAGTCCCAGACTGCAACTCCACAGAAGACCCAGTTGGATGGAATGCGGCGCGACTCTGCACTGGAAAGGTGGAGATGGGACTGTTCGTAGCAGTTGAAAAAAATCGCAGTTGAAGGCTGCGTGTGTTCGGACATGGCACAAGAGCGATAGAATTTCCTGGTCTGCAGAGTTGCGACCGTTTTCGTCAAAATTGTAATAGGCGGAGCCAAAAAACGGGCCAGAATTCGGTACCGTTTTTGAGACCTTCTAGTATTGAGAGATTTTCCGAAAGTTCAGAAAAACGGACCCATTTTTGGGCCTGCGTTGGTGGCGTGGAGAGACCACTTTTCGAGCTCGTTCTTGGAGTCGAAGAAATACGTCCAATGTCACCACTTTTTCAGCGAGATGCAGCTGGATAACTCCAAGGACTCCAAAGCATAGCACTCAGATGCTGCTTGTCCTGATTCGTTTCAAGCTATCGAATTGAAGCGTGCTGCAAGCACTGTGAGTGCATTTGACATGTCTGCGGCGTGGATCCGTGATTATGGAGTCAGTTTTCTTGTACATGCTGCAGTTTCTTGCCACAAGCTGAAGCTGCAAAAACCGTAGAGCCGTGGAGCTTGGCGACGGTATGTGCGATAATGCTTGCGTGAAGTCTCAACAGCACGTGTGCCAAAACCATAGGACAACGAGATCTAAAAGAAATTGTCCCAAAAATACGTTCTGCAGGGGAAAATCGTATAGGGATTCCTCTTTAGTCGAGGCAAAACCTCCCTCATGCGCGACATGGACTCACCCGACTCTTGCTAGCAGCGAATCCTTCCAACATTGGAATGGATCGTACAAGAGCGGCGGAATTTCCAGGAAGGTTTGAGCAGGAACCTCATTTGCAACATTTCTTGCTATGCCTGCTTCTTGTCATTTTGCCAGACCGAAATTTCCAGGAAGGTATCTCCAACAGATCTGAACAGGACTTCCTATGCAGAGTTCTGGTATCGAGAGATGTGGGTAGTGACGGTTCGGAATTTGTGCACCGTGCTTAACTCCACAACTCCCTCATGCACGACGTGGGCTCACCTTGCTTGCCAGATTTTTTTTGCTCTTTTAGCAGGAATTAGGAATCCTATTGCAACATTTCTTGTCTCTGTCTTCTGGTTGCTTTTCGTTAGCCCATTCCTCAAAAGAACTGCACTTTTGCTGTTGCACCGGTGGGAGCTGGAACGGATCGTACAAGAGCGGCGGAATTTCCAGGAAGGTATCTCCAGCAGATCTGAACAGGACTTCTTGAGCTGTGCAAAGTTATGGTATCGAGAGGTGCGGGTGACGGTTCGGAATTTGTGCACCGTGCTTAACTCCACAACTCCCTCATGCACGACGTGGGCTCACCTGGCTCTCGCCAGATTTTTTTGCTCTTTTAGCAGGAATTAGGAATCCTATTGCAACATTTCTTGTCTCTGTCTTCTGGTTGCATTTTGTTAGCCCATTCCTCAAAAGAACTGCACTTTTGCTGTTGCACCGGTGGGAGCTGGAACGGATCGTACAAGAGCGGCGGAATTTCCAGGAAGGTATCTCCAACAGATCTGAACAGGACTTCTTGAGCTGTGCAAAAGTTATGGTGTCGAGAGGTATGGGTGACGGTCGGAATTTGTGCACCGTGCTTAACTCCACAACTGCCTCATGCACGACGTGGGCTCACCTGGCTTGCCAGATTTTTTTTGCTCTTTTAGCAGGAATTAGGAATCCTATTCTGTCTTGTGGTTGCATTTTGTCAGCCCGTTTCTCAAAAGAACTGCACTTTTGCTGTTGCACCGGTGGAAGCTGGAACGGATCGTACAAGAGCGGCGGAATTTCCAGGAAGGTATCTCCAACAGATCTGAACAGGACTTCTTGAGCTGTGTAAAGTTATGATATCGAGAGGCGTGGGTGACGGTTCGGAATGTGCACCGTGCTTAACTCCACAACTCCCTCATGCACGACGTGGGCTCACCTGGCTCTCGCCAGATTTTTTTTTGCTCTTTTAGCAGGAATTAGGAATCCTATAGCAACATTTCTTGTCTCTGTCTTCTGGTTGCGTTTTGTCAGCGCGTTTCTCAAAAGAACTGCACTTTTTGCTGTTGCACTGGTGGGAGGTGGAACGGATCGTACAAGAGCGGCGGAAATTCCAGGAAGGTATCTCCAACAGATCTGAACAGGACTTCTTACGCAGAGTTCTGGTATCGAGAGATGTGGGTGACGGTTCGGAAATTGTGCACCGTGCTTAACTCCACAACTCCCTCATGCACGACGTGGGCTCACCTGGCTCTCGCCAGATTTTTTTTTGCTCTTTTAGCAGGAATTAGGAATCCTATAGCAACATTTCTTGTCTCTGTCTTCTGGTTGCGTTTTGTCAGCGCGTTTCTCAAAAGAACTGCACTTTTTGCTGTTGCACTGGTGGGAGGTGGAACGGATCGTACAAGAGCGGCGGAAATTCCAGGAAGGTATCTCCAACAGATCTGAACAGGACTTCTTACGCAGAGTTCTGGTATCGAGAGATGTGGGTGACGGTTCGGAAATTGTGCACCGTGCTTAACTCCACAACTCCCTCATGCACGACGTGGGCTCACCTGGCTCTCGCCAGATTTTTTTTTGCTCTTTTAGCAGGAATTAGGAATCCTATAGCAACATTTCTTGTCTCTGTCTTCTGGTTGCGTTTTGTCAGCGCGTTTCTCAAAAGAACTGCACTTTTGCTCTCGCCAGATTTTTTTTGCTCTTTTAGCAGGAATTAGGAATCCTATTGCAACATTTCTTATCCCTGTCTTCTGGTTGCATTTTGTTAGCCCATTCCTCAAAAGAACATCACTTTTTGCTGTTGCACCGGTGGAAGCTGGAACGGATCGTACAAGAGCGGTGGAATTTCCAGGAAGGTATCTCCAACAGATCTGAATAGGACTCCTTGAGCTGTGCAAAGTTATGGTGTCGAGAGGTGTGGGTGACGGTTCGGAATTTGTGCACCGTGCTTCACTCCACAAATCCCTCATGCACGACATGGCCAGCACCCACACCTCTCGATACCATAACTTTACACAGCTCAAGAAGTCCTGTTCAGATCTGTTGGAGATACCTTCCTGGAAATTCCGCCGCTCTTGTACGATCCGTTCCAGCTTCCACCGGTGCAACAGCAAAAAGTGCAGTTCTTTTGAGAAACGGGCTGACAAAATGCAACCAGAAGACAGAATAGGATTCCTAATTCCTGCTAAAAGAGCAAAAAAAAGCTGGCAAGCCAGGTGAGCCCATGTCGTGCATGAGAGAGTTGTGGAGTTAAGCACGGTGCACACATTCCGAACCGTCACCCACATCTCTCGACACCATAACTTTGCACAGCTCAAGAAGTCCAGAAGACAGAGACAAGAAATGTTGCAATAGGATTCCTAATTCCTGCTAAAAGAGCAAAAAAAATCTGGCGAGAGCCAGGTGAGCTCACGTCGTGCATGAGGGAGTTGTGGAGTTAAGCACGGTGCACACATTCCGAACCGTCACCCACACCTCTCGATACCATAACTTCACACAGCTCAAGAAGTCCTGTTCAGATCTGTTGGAGATACCTTCCTGGAAATTCCGCCGCTCTTGTACGATCCGTTCCAGCTCCCACCGGTGCAACAGCAAAAGTGCAGTTCTTTTGAGGAATGGGCTAACACAATGCAACCAGAAGACAGAGACAAGAAATGTTGCAATAGGATTCCTATTTCCTGCTAGACAGAGACAAGAGATGTTGCAATAGGATTCCTACTTCCTGCTAAAAGAGCAAAAAAAATCTGGCGAGAGCCAGGTGAGCGAGGCCATGTCGTGCATGAGGGAGTTG